CTTTCTGTCTGTCTGTCTGTCTGTATGGTCATGTCTGTCTGTCTGTCTGTCTGTCTGTCTGTCTGTCTGTCTGTCTGTCTGTCTGTCTGTCTGTCTGGTCATGTCTGTCTGTCTGTCTGTCTGTCTGTCTGTCTGTCTGTCTGTCTGTATGTGTCTGTATGGTCATGTCTGTCTGTCTGTCTGTCTGTCTGTCTGTCTGTCCACCTATATGGAACTACTATATATAATCTATTGCTATATTAGGTGTATATATACAGTATAGCACTATATTGCCCTTGTTGTCTCTCTTAATGGATAAAGCCCCTTGCCCTCCTCTCCCTCCCTCCCCCTCCCTCTCTCTCCTCCCTCCTCCCTCCCTCTCTCCCTCCCTCCTCCTCCCTCCCTCCCTCCCTCCCTCCCTCCCTCCCTCCCTCCTCCCCCCCCTTCCACCTCTGGGAGTAAACACGTGTTATATCACCTTGATGTAATCCAATTTGAGTGTCTGTGATGTGTTAGGCTCTCCTCCGTGTTCTGTGTCCAGTCTTCCTCCTCCTCCTCTTCCTCCTCTTCCTCCCCCTCCTCCTCCTCCTCCTCCTGACGGCTTCTTATCTGTTCTTTCGTTATTATGGTAAAACTCAGGGGCGTGATTCCCACAAATGTTACGTTATTATCCAAGTCTCAGAAAGTCATAACCACTTCAACTTAATTTCTCTCCGGAAAGTTAGAGAGTTGGACAGCTGACCTCACAAGAATTTTAATTAAAAACTGTTCACGGAAAGTAATTCTGGCGTTGACAAATGGCAAACTTTCTTCATGCTCTCAGACGTTCTTGATGTGGTAGAAATTATATATTAATGTCCCAAACGCTAAAGAAGGAAGGTTTTTGTCCTCAGTGTATTGCCTCCACTACAAGTCGTCTACCTCGGTGTTACCACAAGTTAAAGTTTACAAAATCAATGTAAAAGTAGCATATTACAGGTACAGGTAATAACAAAGTTTCCCTTCAACACCTATAGCAGTACCTGGCATCCATCTACCTGGGCTTATGAGGCAGGTAAGGTGTCCCGGGGTCTTAATATGTACCCAGATATATTCCTTGAATTTTAAATCATTTTTTTTCAGGTTGTTATTCTGACATACTTCAACGTACTAATAAAAACATCGTTCACCCTAAAGATTTTGAAGAAATTTACCACCCAAAAAAATATATATATTATATTCTCATATAAATATCAGAAAAAAATAGAATATCGTGTCGAGAAATTTTATTATACTTTGACAAATTATTACTTTTCTTTATGTCTACCTTAAGAGACCAGATTTATTGGCTTGATTTTTTTTTATTATTATAACTTTTTTTTTGGTAGAGGAATATAAAGGACTTTTGGCAGCAGCTTGAGCTTGAGTGACTGAGTAAGTGAGTGGTGGAAAACACGCTTCACCTGCCTTATCACCTGATGCGCGCCACCTTTCCCTCACCCTCTTCCTTCCTCCACAATCGCCTCTCATCCTCCTTTCCATCCATCCTTCCCTTCCCTCTCTCACTTTCTTTCTCCTTCCCACTTACTTTCCTTCCCCCTCCTTACCCTCCGCCCCCCACCCCTTACAGCTCTCACCTCTCACTTTCTCTCTCTCACCTTCGCCATCATCATCTCCTTTCTCTCCATTTCTCCTTCTTCTTCCCCCTCTCTCCATCACCTTTAGCCTTTCCTTCCTATTCTCCTTTAGTATACCACCTCCTTCCTCCCTCCTCCTCCTCCTCCTCCTCCTCCTCCCTACACCAGTACCTCGTCTCCGTTCAGTGTGAAAATATAATAATGCCTCTTAAAGTTTTCATAAATGAACGAGAATTACTTAGATACTTTTCATGTAATATCAAGAAAGTTATTTATTAAAAGTTATAATTTGTCCAAAAAAAATATTAAAAAAAGTTTGAAATAAAGGAAGACTTAAGGTTATAGGAGTTACGTCACACAGCGTAGACCTGATAACCTAACCTAACCTGACCTGGTGTCTCTTTCTCGTATTTGTCCTGTTTCCGTCTCCTCAGACCCTCAGTCCCTCCAGCTCTCTTAAGCCTTCACTTGATAGCCACTCAGAAGACTCTCACCACTTTATGTCTCTTCCTGGTTTTTCTCTTCTCTTCCTTTCTATTCTTCTTTTCTAATATCTTCTGTTTTAACTGTTTCTCTTATTCCCCTTTTATTTCTCTCTATTCTTCTTCTTTCATCTTCTTTCTTAAGTATATTTTTCATTCTCCTGTTTATTTTATTTTTTCTTGTATATTGTTCTTCTCTCCAGGGTAGTAGCAGTAGCAGCACCAGCAGTAGAGAGTAATCATCAGCACCTGTCCCCTTCAGCACCACCACCCACCGACCATGTGTGTGTAAGGTCCCTGAACGGTGGTGGATTACATTAGCATACACCTTCACTTACTCTCTATGAGCCTCTAGCATTATTGCGTGTCTCTGGTCTTGGGTTTTACAAGGAGGGAAATTATTTGACTAAGGGAAATAATTTATAGTTTTCCTGAAGGGTGATGTTGATGTTTATTACCCCTCCCGCCCCTTGATGTTGTAGTGATGTTTGTGTGTTTATATTTGGTTATATTGATGTTTAGATGTTATTAATGGTTTATGAGTGTTGTAGATGATTAGGAATATAAGTTTAGGGTGTTTACGGTGTTTAGATGATCCCCTTTGACTGGTTCACAGGGTAAATATTGGTATATTTACATAATTTTGTCTCCACTGAATACATCAAAGGTAAGAAAACTCCTTTGAATGTCTGAGGAACTTGTGAGTCTGACAGCATAATATTGTTAGTAAGGTTATGTGTGTGTAGTGTCTCTGACCTATTGTAAGGAACACACACACACACACACACACACACACACACACACACACACACACACACACACACACTACCACCATCACTAATCTTCTATGCATAGGTGAAGAATATTATTGAGAAAGTCTACGGTCTTTACCACCCATGTTTCACTACCTCTGGTCATGTAACCCACACACACACACACACACACACACACACACACACACACACACACACACACACACACACACACACACACACATACATACACACACACACACACACACAACACACACACACACACACACACACACACACACACACACACACACACACACACACACACACATACACTAGGAGGATTGACTCATAAATCACTTTATACCAGAGTGATGAAGGTGTCAATATATCAAAGGGATTCACACGCTGCAATTAGACACGGGGTTTACATTGGTAGTTTGGCCATTAGCTTAAGCCGGATAACGAGGAGGTCGAATAAGTTACTGTATCTCTTTATGTTTACCTGTATGCAAATTAAGTGATTTGCATAGCACTTTATTATCCCGAAGTTATACCCGGGGATGAAGTTATTGTATTAAAATATTTATAAGAAAGTTAATGAAAAATACCCTGAAATGTGTAGCCCAGGTGAGACAGAGAGAGAGGGGGGATATAGCCTTGGTGTTAGGTTAGGTTAGGTTAGAACCAAGAGTTATACCTTTATATTTTCTACGACTAAAATATGAGAGAAAACTAGATTCTGTTATGGGTCCCTGAGGCAGAAGAGAGCAGGAGGTACTCTCCTCTCTAATTTTATCCCCTTTTCTCTCTTCCCTTCCTCCCCTCTCTATCCTTTCTCTCCAACTCCCTCCCTACTCCCCCTCTTCTCCCATCCCTTCCTCCTCTCTTCCCCCCTTCCCCTCCTCTCCCTCTCTCTCCACCATCTCGTGACCGCTAGGCTGAGGGTTCTGTCTCGTGACGGGTAAGTCTCACTGTCTAGCGTGCAAGTAGTCATCTGTTCGTCTGTCTGTGCGCCATGCTAATTAATTTCACGGGAAGGAAAGAAAGTAGTCGATTCTTACGGGGACAAAAAATTTATTATATATTTTAATTCTCATTAGTTAGGTCGTAGTTGTTGAGTTAATTAAGTGTTTTAGTGTTAAAGTGTTTTATATATTGACAGTTTAAATTATTTTGTGTTTAATATGTTTAGTTAGTGTGTGTGTGTGTGTGTGTGTGTGTGTGTGTGTGTATGTGTGTGTGTGTGGAGGTTGCGTGTTATTAACCCCTAAGTATTGGTGAAATAAAGAGGATTTTCCCCCCATATTACCTGCTAAGAGAGTCCCGTCCCCAGACATGTCTCACTGCCCCTCTACAAGACACCAACCTGATAGTTAAGAGCATCTCTAACTAAGATCTAGTAACTAGCACCTAATAGTCTTGACACTAATAGCTAATGAAACAAAGTATAAGATAATTGATTTAACTTTACCCGTATGTGATGTAAAGTATTGTGTGTTAATGTATACAAGATCCTCAGTTAATGTGATCTTAGTAAACCTTGTGATCTTAGTAAACCTTGTGATCTTAGTAAACCTTGTGATCTTAGTAAACCTTGTGATCTTAGTCAATAGTATTCCTTGGATCAAACTCTCCCAGTGAGGTATGTTGGTGAGCTGTGGCCTTCAGAGGATGCATTGAGCATTTGGGTGTTAGCGTGTTATCTATGTACGTGCTGGGCTCTAGGGACGTGGTTGTGCGCAGGCGTGGTGGCTATGGGCGGGTGAGGGTGAGGGTGTGCGTGTAGCTTTTGTCATCTGTTGGAGCCCAGACGAGTAGGAGCTATATTCGTATCTCCGTTGGTTTAAGATACTCCAGGTAAGTTAGAAATGTCCTTTGTCGTATTCTAGCCAAAGTGACTATGTGCTTGAGAGGTGTTGTTCTTGTTCTGGCGCTGCTTGAAAGGTCTAAGCCTGAGACAGTAAGACTTTATCTAATGGATCTTGTCTATTGTGATGGAGGTTTCTTTACGGCCCCCAGGCAGTGCTAATAACCCTTACCAGACTCACTCAAGGCAGTACTCGAAGCCTTTACCTAGTTGTACTCACAGCCCTCACCAGGTAGTACTCTCACCCGTTAGTACTCAGGGCCCTCACTACTGCCTCTCTTCTCAGGTTGGGTGACTCAGTATGCCGTCGAAGGCGGAGACAGAGAGCATCCACTCCGCACAGTCACATAACTCTGACCAAATTTCTTCCTTCGTCGGCATCAACACTGGATGTGGCAAGTGAGTAGCACGAGTAGGGAGGGAGAAGGAGAGGGAGGGAAAGCGGAAGGTGAGAGGGAAAGGAGGAAAGAGAAATGAAAGTGAGAGGGGAGTGACAATGCTTATGTGTTAATATACCTTTACTATACATCAACATAATCAACACCACCACTCCCATTAACTTCTATCCCTCTCACCACCACCCCCACCCACCCCTATCCCTCTCACAACGACTCCCGCTCATCCTTATCCCTCTCACCACCACAGGCTCAACATCAGCACCAAACAAGGGAAGAACCTACACTTCCTACAGATGGTGGTGTTACCGCTCATCCCAATCATCGGCCTCATAGTCCAGAACTGCATCACCATGGAAACTGTCATCCTCTACCAGTCAGAGATCAGCCGAGTCAACGACGGAGTGAGTTGACGGGTGTTGGTGGGGATCTGTATGGCTTTTAGGGGGTGTTAAGGGGCCTGTTTAGCTTACGGGGTGGTGTTGAAGGGGTTTACATGCTCTATGGGGTATGTTGAGGGGTCTGTGTGGTTTCTGGGGATTATTTAAGGTTTCTTAGATCATTCAGGGGGGTACTAAAGAGATCCATACTCTCTCTCTGGGGGGTTGTTAAACAATAGAGTCATTATTTCTACGTTATGTACTGAATATCCTAGTAACTCTCTCTACATAGATCCAGTCAACAGTGACGCTGGGAGCCTTAGTAGCAGCCATTCAGATGGAGAGACTGTCTGTGGCTTACTATGTCTTCACCAATGGCTCCTCCCTCACGTATGTCTTCACCAATGGCTCCTCCCTCACGTATGTCTTATGTCTTCACCAATGGCTCCTCCCTCACGTATGTCTTCACCAATGGCTCCTCCCTCACGTATGTCTTCACCAATGGCTCCTCCCTCACGTATGTCTTCACCAATGGCTCCTCCCTCACGTATGTCTTCACCAATGGCTCCTCCCTCACGTATGTCTAGTCAACACACTCAATGACCTGTTTGTCTGTTAGTCACCCTTATTGTAGTTGTCTTTGCTGTGGTTGGTTTCTGTTCCAGGTGTTTTAGGTGTCTGGTTTAGTTGTATGTTTTACGTATCCGTTTTAGGAGCTACAACTGTCTATTTTAAGATCTTTAACTTTCTATTTTAAGTATTTCAAATCTGTTTTACCACCTACAAATATCTTTATAGGTGAAATAACACGCCATTGTTAGTTAGATCACTATGTTGCCTGTTTCACCGACCAATATAAATTACCTGTGTCTCTTTATTCCTCCCCCAGAGCCAACCTAAGCAGCACCTACGCCAATACCAACAAAGTAATAAAGGAATTAGCAGTGTGGCCAAACATAGATGAGAAGACTGACTTGTTTGAGAGTCCACAACACTTTCAGATCCGATTAAATGATTTCAGGTATTTGTGTGGGTGTGTGTGTGGGGGGGGCGGGTGTGTGGGGTGGGTGTGTGTGGGGTGTGTGTGTGTGTGTGTGTGTGGGGTGTGTGTGTGTGGGGGGTGTATGTGTGTGTGTGTGTGGGGAGGGGGTATGTGTGTGGGGTGTAGGGGGTGAGAGTTATATGTGTGTGGGGGGGGGGTGTGGGGGAGGGGGTTATATGTGTGTTGGAGTGGGGTGGGATGTGGGTTAGGGAAAGAAAGAAAGAAAGAAAATCTAGTCACTACCTCCTACAGAAACAAGCTGGACGCCAACGACATATACATCAGAGACAAGATGGAGTTCTACAGCCTGATCACTAAGTCTCTCATCACACAGCTCATCGTGTTCACCAGCAACACCAGTTCCCCGGGCCTCTGGCAGTGAGTCCCTTCTGCTGTAGTGGCACCGTCGGGAGAGGAATCTGTGTTTGTTTAGTGAATGGAATTGTTTTTTGGGGTTAGAATTATTAGTTTTTTTGGTGTTGTTATTGTAAATATTTGTATTGTCATGTTATTTTATTGTTGTTAACGTTGTTGTTGATATTATTGTTATTGATATTATTATTGTTGTTATTTTATTATTTTTTGTTAATTTTATTATTGTTAGTATTACTGTTGTTATTATTATTGTTGTTGTTGTTATCCTGTAAGTGTTGTATTCCCTTTTAATTAAGTTGTAAATTAATGAAATTTTACCCAAATATGAATATCTCACAAAATATTGACCTTGAGTAACATAGTGTGTACCACCTCCCCCCTCTTTCCCTGCAGGCTGGTGGAGGGCTACAAGAGCACCATCTCCGCTATAGAGAACATGGGCCGCTCTATCATCTATGGCCTCAATTACTTCGGCCGTGGCCACGTAGACCAGTATGGCCTCTACCAGTATGTGCGGTTGTGGGCCATATCCAACAACGGCCTAAGGGTATGATAACGTGTGGCTTTATCTTATCTTATATTTTATCATTTATTCAACTTTATATATTTATATTATTATTGATGTTTCTATAATCAGTCTATGAATTATCGGATTATATATTGTTATTTTGAGAGAGTATTGTGAGAGGTCCCTGGTGTGTGTGTGTGTGTGTGTGTGTGTGTGTGTGTGTGTGTGTGTGTGTGTGTGTGTGTGTGTGTGTGTGTGTGTGTGTGTGTGTGTGTGTGTGTGTGTGTGTGTGTGTGTGTGTGTGTGTGTGTGTGAAGGTAAGTTACATGACCAGAGGTAGTGAAACGTGGGTGATAAAAACCGTAGACTTTCTCAATAATATTCTTCGTCTATTCATAGAAGGTTGGTGTGTGTGTGTGTGTGTGTGTGTGTGTGTGTGTGTGTGTGTGTGTGTGTGTGTGTGTGTGTGTGTGTGTGTGTGTGTGTGTGTGTGTGTCCCTAAGCCCATGGATCAGGGGAGGTAGTTGTGACCTGTTGTTGGTGGTGGTCAGGTGGGACTGTGGAGTAATTAGCGAACATAACACAAGTGATCTATGCTACTGAGAGAGATATCCTGTAACAAAGTCGAATAATCGGGCGGATTGCTACATGAGAGGAAAATTATATAGAATAATCTTATATGTAGATGATTATGAGAAAACATATTGTAGTTCATCATCACACAAGCCATGATAACGCACTCTTCCCTCTCACAGACTATAATAACGCACTCTTCCCACTCACAGACTATAATAAGACTATAATAACGCACTCTTCCCTCTCACGGGCTATAATAACGCACTCTTCCCTGTCACACACTATAATAACGCACTCTTCCCTCTCACAGACTATAATAACGCACTCTTCCCTCTCACACACTATAATAACGCACTCTTCCCTTTCACAGACTATAATAACGCACTATTCTCTCTCAGAGATTATAATAACGCACTCTTCCCTCTCACAGACTATAATAACGCACTCTTCCCTCTCAGAAATCACAGTAACACACTCTTCCCTCACACACACACAGACAACCATGGAATTCTCAAAGAAGAGCGCGTCTACCATCTCAGGCATCAGACAGCTGCCGTACTTAGAGCAGATCAGGGAATGGAATGCAGAGATCAGACGTAACGAACACATCAACGGCAGTACTGACATCGCCACCCAGTACATCACCTTCATGGCCAAGTACCTTCAGGACCTAAGACTGGCCCAGAGAGACCTACAGCAGGAGATTAGGTGAGATAAAGAGAAAGAGAGAGAGATAGAGAGATAGTTAGAGAGAGAAATAGAGAGATCGAGAGGGAGAGAGGGAGATGAATATGGAGAGAAAGAAATAGATACATAGATAGAGAGATAGAGAGAAAAAGAGACAGAGAGAGAAGAGACAGAGACATAATTAGAGAGAGAGAGAGAGAGAGAGAGAGAGAGAGAGAGAGACCATGACAACAATAAACACTATCAATATATGCATAAGAAAATATAAATCTATTTCCATTATTTATACCGCTACTGTCATTGATATCTATGTGTCAGGAAGACTGTTAACGAGCAGCTGACGGTGGCTGACAGTGAAGAGGCTGTCAGCATCGCCGTCCTGGTGTTAGTACTGACTATCTCCCCGATCATCGTCATTTTGGTCAGGAAAGCTACACACATGGTCGAGGTAACGTATTATTTGCCTTTATGTCTCTCTCTCTCTCTCTCTCTCTCTCTCTCTCTCTCTCTCTCTCTCTCTCTCTCTCTTAACCCAGCTCCCTACATTCCCTTCCTTTATCTTCACTTTCTATTCCTTTCCCAACCAGTTTCTTATCAATTTTCGTTTCTTATTCATTACTTTCATCTCACTTTCTCTTCATTTACTATTTAATTTATCTTTAACTTTCTTTTCTTTTTACTTTCCCATCATTTTCTCTTCACTTCCCAATAATTGATCTCAGCTGTCCCTTCACTCAGCCCCCTCACTGTCTACAGATGTTCTCGGACACACTGGCAGTAAAGATGGGACAGTTGAAGACAGAGAAGAAGAGAAGTGACCGTCTCCTGTACCAGATGTTACCCGTGGTGGTGGCCAAGCAACTCAGGCAGAAGAAACAGGTTAGAGAGAGAAAGAGACAGAGAGACAGTGAGAGACAGACAGATAGACAGATAGAGAGAGACAAACATATAGACAGATAGAGAGACAGACAGAGAGAGAGAGAGACAGACAGACAGACAGAGAGAGACTGAGAAAGTGAGAGAAAGGATAGATTTCGTTAGTTTCTACAGACCAAGGAAATGTCTGTTTTGCTGTAATTTCTCAGATGCTTGAGTTACCCACAAAAGTCAAGCTTCACAGAAAATGGTCAAATTCCTTAACAGAAAATGGTAATGTGTTTTCTTTTACGGTAAACCTAAAAGGATGAGTGTGTGTGTGGGTGTCTGTATGTGTATTTTATATAATTATGTGTACGTATATGTGTAATTACGTACATGAGTGTATTATCTTCTGTACGCATGTTTTCTATGACCGAATTTGCGTGTATAGTATATTATTTTGCTTCATACACCCTCCTATCATACTCCCTCACTTTCTCCCTCACAATCTCCCTCACTTTCTCCCTCAGTATCTCCCTCAGTATCTCCCTCAGTACCTCCCGCCATTATTTCTCTCTCTTGTGCCAGGTGCCAGCGGAAAGCTTCGAGAGTGCGTCCGTGTATTTCAGCGATATTGTTGGCTTCGAGGAGTTGTGTTCTGAGAGCTCCCCCATGCAGGTACCTCTCTCTCTCTCTCTCTCTCTCTCTCTCTCTCTCTCTCTCTCTCTCTCTCTCTCTCTCAACGCATATAACTATCTATCTACCTGTTTATCCCTCCATCTGTCGAGCTATCCACGTATCTGGTAATCTATTTATCTATCCATCTCTTATTGCCTCTATTCCAGTTCCATGATTATTGTGTTATATATTGTTATAAAATTACTTAATAACTCGCACGATTCATATACTACCACGTCAATAACACCCACATCCACACACCCACATCAGTAACTACCACCCAGATACCCACATCAGTAACTACCACCCAGATACCTACATCCACACACCCACTTCAGTAACCGCCGCCCACACACCCACAGATCGTCTCACTACTCAACTCCCAGTACAAGGTGTTCGACTCGAGGCTGGAGCGTTACGACGTGTATAAAGTTGAGACGATTGGCGACGCTTACATGGTGGTGTCCGGCCTACCTAAGAGGAACGGTGAGGAGGGGTGGGCACATGGTGGGTAGGAGGTGGGTAGGTGGTGGGCAGGTGATGGACAGAAAGTAGGTAGAAGGTGGGTAGGAGGTGGAATGGAAGTGGGTGATGCTAAATTGAACTAGGAAACGACAGGATTAAACCAAATGGATATCCGAGGTCTTTGGTTGTATAGGTGAGAGAACGATATGACGTGAGAGATATGTTTAGAGATAAATAGAATAGACGAATGGAGAGAGAGATAAATGGATAAATGAATAGATGGGTGTAGAGAGAAAGAGAGGAAGGAGGAGAGAAAAAAAAAGAGAAAGAGTTCATACGTCACCTTTTCTAAACAGGTCAAAGGCACGCGATGGAAATTGGAAGCTTGGCTCTCGACCTACGAAACGCCGTTCAGTCCATCCCCATCCAGCACAAATCCGGCGGCTACCTGCAGGTAACACCGCCCTGGGGAGCTTATTATGATTCACCTCACCTGAGTACAGATTTAAGGCTCTTACTGAAGCTTGTTAGCACACCTGGTTTAAACATGAGACCTAAAGAGGGCAAGATATAGTTAGTAAATATGCTTCTTAAAGGTAATATTTCTCTTTATAATTAGAGCGACATAGACAGACTGACAGACAGATATTTGACGGAGAAATAGACGTAAAGACAAACGAAGATGAGACTTGGCTAAAGACGGAATAACTAACTTAATAACGAAAAAATGTAAATTATGTAGAGAAACAGACAATCTTCTTGGAATTTAAACTTTGAGCCGAAAGAAGAGAGAGAGAGAGAAGCAGATAGATAGACAGACAAAGATACAGACAGAGAAACAGAGATACAGACAGAGAAACAGAGATACAGACAGAGAGACAGAGATACAGACAGAGAAACAGAGATACAGACAGAGAGACAGAGATACAGACAGAGAGACAGAGAGACAGACAGAGAGACCATTTCCTAGACCCTGTAAGAAGGCCCTAATTGTCGTGGTTCAGATCCGGGCAGGAGTAAACACGGGGCCGGTGGTGGCTGGGGTGGTGGGGACCAAGATGCCTCGATACTGCCTCTTTGGCGACACTGTCAACACTGCCTCGAGGATGGAGACAACATGTGAACGTAAGGACACAGTTACACCTATGTATCTTCTGTGTATGTGTATATTCATTATTCATGTATATTATTTTCGTTCCATTTGTATAGATATTTAAGTTCTGGTTCCATTCTCTGTATTTTCTCTGCTCTTCGTTGTGTCAGCCATGAGGATTCAGGTGTCTGTCAGCACCCGTATGGCTCTGGTGACGGCCGGGGGCTTCATCATGGAGTACCGAGGACAGGTAGATGTCAAGGTCAGTGTCATGTTAGCGTGATATCAGTATATTCAAAGTATCGTCAGTTTGTTCAGTGTGACGTAAATATAATCAGCATAATCAGTGTTGTGTGTCAGCATACTCTCTCTCTCTCTCTCTTTCTCTCTCTCTCTCTCTCCCATGTTATCACCTCCCTGGCCAGCTCTCTCCTCCACCCCCAGGGTAAGGGGGAGATGGCCACGTACTGGCTGGAGGGCCGTGACGGTCTCCAGCTTGAGCCACCAGGGATGGACGAGGTAGGAGAGGGTGACGGAGCCGGCACCAGTAACCCGGCCTTCGTGCAAATGGTGGGCGACCTGCAGGACTCACCAGAGACCAAGAAAACTGAGAAGGTCGTTCATAGGTAAATAACAACAGCGGAAGAATAAACAAACAATAACATAATTAATAAAAGGAAAGTAACAACAAAAAGAAAGATGTAGTAATAAGTAATGTAGAATATTTTAATTATAAGAAACGTTTTAGGAGACATCTGTCAGTCAAGGATGATGAAGTGTAGAGAGATAAACTAAACAACACCTCATTATTGTATTAATATTAAGACGTAATATCATAAGAATACAGTTGATATATTTAAGATTAAAATAATACTTTAATATGTGTTTATTTTCATCCTCATTAAGGTTTAGTATTAACAGGTGAGAGAAAGACTGTCTCAGGTGTATGGCAGGTGAGGAAGAGGAGGAATAATTAAGACATAATAAAACCACAGATTATAGAGAGTGAGATAATGTATATTTATAGATTATCAATGAATATAATGACCACAAAGTGTACTGGTAAAATATATACACACTGCTTAGTCAACACAGGTGTCAGCATGCGAGTCAGCAGCTTCTTCAACGTCAGCAATAAAGTTGTCTGGACAATCTGTATAAGTCATTGTAGACCAGAGTATGAGCAACAGTAATACAATAGGTTAATGAGATGCTTAAGTACAAGAAATCTGCCTACAACATCACTCCAGCAAAGTCCATTAGAAAAATACACACGCAAGTTTGTATGTTACGAACACATACACGTTATTGAGTTGACAACTAAAATACACACAATCATAAGACTCCTGACAATCATGTATGGGAGTATGTGAAAAATATACAACATGTATTTCAATATAATACTCAGTGCACCAGTCAAGGGAAACTATCCAAAAGTGATAGAATATTAAGTAAAAAATTAGATATACGTATTTTATATCTATATATGAACGTGTTTATGTCTGTATGAAAAATAAAACAGGTAAACACAGGTAAGGTGAGATTAATTAGCTCTCAGGTGATTATAACAATACCAGTAAGTTATATCACAAATCTGACACTAAAAACAGGAAAATAAAAACTTGCTTCTTATTATAAGTGACAGATACTTATGTAACACCGAAGTAACATTTAAGTAGATAAGTGATACATCACAGGTGAGTTGCATATGGTTGAGGGGAGGAGAACCAGTTGTCTATAGTGACTTGTAATGATATGTGATACGTCTGCCAGGGTGATGTACTGCCCCCACCAATAATTCCCATTATCAGAAAATTTCAATGATATTTGGTTATGTTCCTACATCTGTCTCCTCTATATAGCATTTATCATATAGTTTCTTCCAATATATGTTCATATAATGATAACTTCTATATATTAGTTACTGTATGACTGTCACCTCTTAAGGGAGAATATTATCCTTATAAACTTTCTCAAGACTTTACATGTTATTTTTGTATTAATCCAAAGATGTTCCAATATTCATACAATAAGATTAGTTTAGTAACACAGAAGGAAATGTTTAGTACTGGTTTCTCTGTATCCCTGCATTACGTTACAGTTATACAGTATAAAACCTTTTAAAGAAATATATTGCTTTAAGTACACAACAAATACATACGACTCGTAAGGTGAGCTGGGGTCTTCCCTGCCCCTGACGGTTACTGAAGATAGTATGTAGGAAGGTATGCATACACAATCTAGTGTATGTATGTTTGTGTGTATTTTATGTATGTATGTATGTATGTATGTATGTATGTATGTATGTATGTATGTATGTATGTATGTATGTATGTATGTATGTATGTATGTATGTATGTATGTATGTATGTATGTATGTATGTATGTATGTATGTATGTATGTATGTATGTATGTATGTATGTATATCGCCTCACCCCCGTATAAGAGGTACTGGTGTAGTTAACTTGTTTTCTTGACTATAGACTCACGTCTTGTTTACTTGTATAAGCTAATTTGTATTTACTTAAATGTTTATATAACCCCGATATATGGTACACTGTAGGGAGTTGTTACACTCTATAACGTGACTGATCCATGTGTGTGTGTGTGTGTGTGTGTGTGTGTGTGTGTGTGTGTGTGTGTGTGTGTGTGTGTTCATAGACACAAGAGTAAGACATTATTAAGTATGAGTCAGTACTGTGGGCACGAGCGCCTGATGCACTTAAGTCCAAGACTAAATAAACCACCAAGAGTGAGGCCCTCAAGTCCTAAACGACCGACCAAGTCCTGGTTAGTCAACATGAGAGCAAGAATGATGTAGAAGAAATATATACAGGTACATTGTTCCTCACACCTGATGTACTGTAAAGTATGTTCCTTTACTTCTCACAAATATGGAAAATTAACTTGACATCAAAATTCTTTCCCTGAAACAACCTAACGTTATCTACCTCCTACACACAAAGTGTTTACACACTTACCAAGGCTTATAGTAAATGACTGACAAGACTTATTACTCGCTGCAGTCTTCAGCTCAACAATATTATTACCATAATTTGTAGCAATAGAGAAATAGCATAAATCAACACACACACACACACACACACACACACACACACACACACATATATATATATATATATATATATATATATATATATATATATATATATATATATATATATATATATATATATATATATATATATATATATATATATATATATATCAAAGAACCATGTATACATATAGAGCTGCCAACAAGACTTACTAAATATAACTTACATTACTATTATTATTGATAATATTATTATTATTATTAAAATGTAGAAGTGGAAGTACTTCCTGTTTTAAAATATAAATATTATAGCAAACTCACTATATGTTGTTCCTATCTTGTCAGAGACGCCGCCATTATTACCTTTGAATGAGTGATTAAATCTACAGGATATATATAATTTGTTTTCATTGTCAGTGGTTGTTAGTGATCAACTACCAGGGTTATATATTCCTATATTAACTGAGAATAACATCGACCTCCAGTTACCTGTTCACCTGCCTCCCTCCCCGACAGGTAAGAGACTTGACAAACTGCAGGAGTGTAATATACAATGAATCTGATCCATGGATTAGCCCAATTAATTACTGAATGTTGATGTAGTACCGCGAACGGAAACACAACCCAACGACCATAAAATTAGGTTAGGTTAGGTTAGGTTAGGTTAGGTTAGGTTAGGTTAGGTTAGTTTAGGTTAGGTTAGGTTAGGTTAGGTTAGGTTAGGTCGTCTCCAACATTGTCCAAAGCTCACTCACAACACCTATTCTCTCTTATGGAGGAGAAGCAAATATTTATCATCAGAATGGCAGCAAAGTCGATAGATTAAGGAGGAATAAAGAGTAAATATCTCTCTATGTATGTATGTATGTATGTATGTATGTATGTATGTATGTATGTATGTATGTATGTATGTATGTACATTTTATACATCTGAACAAGCACTGGGCACAGGCTGTTAAAATAGGTATCAAGGTTATGGATTGTTTTTTAAATATATTGTAGTATAGTTTGAGGTTATGGTAACACCCCCAAACTATATATGACCCAGTCCTATTAGGCCCCAGTCCTAATAGACCCTAATAACCAATTCCAACCCAATCACTAGAATTATGACCCTCGACAATTTGGAATCATTAAGGGTGTTTGACCCCATAAGGCTGGGTCAGGTAAGAGTCGTTATATTCAACACTGGGACACATTTTACCTGCCACCTCATTAACAAACACTTCACCTGTGTCTGTGTATGATGTATCCAAAGCTTCATCAACATGTATCTCGCTTCCCCTCGTCTTCACTGCCTTAAACAATCGTAAAAAATACATAACGAAATACATAATAATATACATAAACCAGAACCTATGACGTAGGCGTATAGGAACGAGGTTTTCTAGATGTAAACAAACAGAGACTTAAACATATACATTGGAATGTGAACCTTAAGTAAGCATAACAGAGGGATCATAATCCTGTACCCAGTGTTTGTTTAGCTTTAGTACGCACCACACTAGGCGTATTCCACATTAGTCTTGAAGGTATAGAAATAGCTCTTATAAACGGACTCATAACGGCTAGTTTTGCCTGAAAGTACAGCACAACATCTAAATGGAGGAATATCTTAGCCACACGACATCAAGATATATTTATGTACAGAATTGTGGCGAAAATATTAAAGGGTTAACTGAGGTGTTTACAGGTGTGTGTGTGTGTGTGTGTGTGTGTGTGTGTTGTGTGAATATTGAGGTGTATGTATTAAGAGACTTTACACACACACACACCCACATTAACCCCGTAATGATAGTGGCATAACTTAAACACACAAATAATCCTCTTTCATAATTCATATACAATAAATCTCTGTTATCTGGACCACATCAACTCTAAACCTACGAGAATAACGGAACAAGTCTCTCTCTTCCTTAACTATTTCGTTTATTGAAGATATATATAGCGTGTCTGATGATTGGTCGCACCTGTGATGACGTAAGTTATGACATCACAGGTGTCTGGTGATTGGTCGAACCTGCACTGGTGTCGTACGTGAGTATTGATTCACAATTTAAATAATAGAGTACTAGTTGAGTCCTAACATCGATGATGATTGGTCGTGCTTGTAATGACGTCATGAGGAGTCGTGACTGGAATGAGACCGATGATTGGTCATGAATATAATGTTGACATAAAAACGATAGCATTGATTATTAGGTAACTAGTGATTAGTAGAGATTGGAATGACTTCAAAGATTAGTGATGATCATGGGAATGACTTATGATTAATGGATATTTAAGACATTATAAATTAAACCAGTGTAATGACATCATTTGAGGGTCAATAAACCACTTAATTGTCTATAAAGTGAGTAATTAAGACGAGAGTTAATCTGTTGTCAGTATAATAATCTGTAATAGCTGAAGTAAAACATAACCATGATATAATATAAACGATTTATAAACAAAACATAACTATTAGGGGAGACTTGTGTGTTCCTTTAATTCATCACTCATGTGTGTAGTCTATCTCTCTGGCCTTAATACCTCGGGTCACCACACAAGACGGCCTCGGGTCACCACACAAGACGGCCTCGAGTCACCACACAAGACGGCCTCGGGTCACCACACAAGACGGCCTCGGGTCACCACACCTCAGTCACCACAGACGCCCTCAGGTCACCACAAAGACGGCCTCAGGTCACCACACAAGAAGGCCCTCAGGTCACCACACACAAGACGGCCTCAGGTCACCACACAAGACGCCCTCAGGTCACCACACACCCACAAGACGCCTCGGTCACCACACAGACGATCAGGTTTCGTCACCACACAAGACGCCCTCACAGTATTACCAGGTCACTCCTTCTACACGGACGTCAGGTGTTACACTTAACCAGGCTGACGTCTCTGTGACTTCAAGTATCACTGGACCTCCTCTGCCACAGTCACCAGGAGATGTCACCCTCGACCTTCACACTAGCTGGAGGATGACTTATGTTGTAGTGAAGTAATAGAGATTTATTTAGTCGCTTCTTAAGTACCTGACCGAACTGATGTATGTCTGTCAGTCACAATAACCCCCCCCCCCGCTAACAATGCGCTCAGAGTGTGTTATGAGGAAGCAAATTATCGGTGTTTTGAATCACTTAAATTAATCTAAACTACTTAATCACTTAAATTAATCAAAACTACTTAATTATGTCAGATATAAGTGTAATCACTCGAAGGCTTTAGGAATAACATACTTTCTCTCTTCTCACCTCCACTATACACTACGACACTTAGTGAATTATCCCATCGACCTGAGCATCGGTTTCTTGTGATGAATGATTCGTGGTTTTAATTATTCAGAAAATATGATGAAACTAAGACTGACCTATGAAGAGAAACTGACGATATTATGATTATATTTAGACCATATTTATAGGGTGAGTCAGAAAAATATTCCTCCTTCCTTCCCTCCCAACCTGCCTGCTCTCTCTCTCCCTACAAGTCACAATGTCTCAGGGAGCAGGCAGGGAGGGAGGGGGGCAGGGAGGCGGCAGGGAGGGAGGGAACAGGCAGGGAGGGAGGGAACAGGCAGGGAGGGAAGGAGGGAGGTAGGGACCTTTTGCTGGGACACCCTATACATATATATTTCGAAGGTAAAGAAAAAAGAATAAGTGTAAAGATGGAGAGAGACATGCAAGTGACAGTATTGATATAAATAACTTCCTCTACGGCCTAACACTCTCATTGGCCTCTGACTCATTCTCTTAACCCGAGTTTAATTCTTTCCTAAATTTGCTCCAAAAGTTTAAAATATACAAAATCAATAACTACAGTTTGCTATGTAGGAGCAATGAGGCTTAGCTAATCCTGGGAGGATGATTGGAATCTGTTGAGTGATTGTCAAAGTCATTCTTGGTGGTTGTTGATTTGCTGTGGCCAATCAAAACGTCACTGGGCGGATCATCTCTGTCGACTTACTGAGACACACACACACACGACCCCCTCCCTAACACACCCTAATAAACCTCATCTTATTACCGTAATTATAAATGAACTACTTAAATATTCACTTAGATAAAGACGTGAGTTATCTATCTACTTATAACAGTTAAGTAGATGTAAATTCTAATGTAGTCTCTCATGTAGACACATAAGTGAGAGAATGTGAGAAAAATACTTTCAATAGTCGCTTTAAGTGGGTTTATAAGTGAAACGCCTGCTCACTTAAACTTTAGTGGAGATGCGATGTTTTATAATTAATAAACTAAGTTGCTTTGGTAGTGACAGGGATAGAAGGAGGTGGGCGACAAGGTGGGTGACTAAGGTGGGTGACGAGGTGGGTTGACGAAAGTGGGTGACGAGAGTGGGTTGACGAAAGTGGGTGACGAGAGTGGTTGACAAAGGGGGTGGGTGACAAGGGTGGATGACGAGGGTGCTTCAGGTAGCTCTTCTGCGGGAGCTCCCAGGCGCTGACGTGGTTGACGAGGCGCGAGGAAGAGTGGCAGGATGAGACGTGGCTGAGTTACTACCTACACGAGACTTAACAGCTCGGGGAGCACTGTCACTACAGGTAGACGTGAGTGAGTTACCTGTGGAGGAGGTAGTGGAGCGAGGAGTAGTAGGAGGAGGAGATGATAAAGAAGAGGCAGTGGAAGAGGAATTAGAGGCGCGAGAGGGAGTAGGAGAGGCAGTGTTCGCCTTAGCTTGAGTATGAGAGGCAGTATCACCAGAGGTCGTTTCTATGGTGACTGCGGTGTAAGGGATAGTAGTAGTGGGGACAGCAGCTGCGTGAGACTCTGGTACGACGCCGCCAGCTGCGATGATCGTGGTGGTCGTCCCGGATGTGGTGACGTCAATGGTGGCAGCCCGGGACATGATCCGTCCCTTCGCGAAGCTCACTGAACGGACAGTGCAGGTGGGGGAGCCAGCCACAGGGGGAGCCGCAGCTGTGCCAGGTGCCGCAGCTGCAATGCGGACACAGCGGTGAGGGAGAGGAGTGGCGGCCGCAGCAACAGCAGAAACATGGTTAACGTCAGCAGCAGCAGCAGCGCCGTCAGGAACAACAGCAGCATCAGGAGCAGCAATAATAGCAGTACCACCAGCTGCCACAACAGCACCAGGGGCAGCAGCAGCAGCAACAGCAATAGCAGCAGCAGCGGCCGCAGCAGTAGTATCACCAACACCGTCGAGAGGAGGGTGCGGGTGGGCGGCGGCTCATGGTTGGCTAAGGGATGGCCGTGTGGGCGGTGGGTGGGCGGGGTCGCGGCGGGTGTAGAGAACAGTGTCCATCATGGCCAGACTCTGCACGATGGTCTCATCCCGCGACACCCACTCGGCCAACTCCTCTATGGTGATGGCCCCGTCCTGGTTAATGTCAATCAACTGTGGGAGGGAGAGAGAGTTAGTGGGAGGGGGAGAGAGAGTTAGTGGGAGGGAGAGAGAGTTAGCGGGGGGAGAGAGAGAGTTAGTGGGAGAGAGAGTTAGCGGAGGGAGAGGGGAGTTAGCGGAGAGGGAGAGAGAGAGAGTTAGCGGGGGGAGAGAGAGTTAGTGGGGAGGAGAGAGAGTTGAGTGGGGGGAGAGAGTTAGTGGGGGAGAGTTAGGGGGGAGAGTTAGAGGGACAGAGAGAGTTAGTGGGAGGGGGCTGATATCCTTCTAGACTCACATGGAAGATTTTATCGACGTGGTCCTTGGCTGAGTTGTCCTCGACCTGGGGCTCGGTAGACCGGCCCAACATCTCATAGATCGCCGTCACCACATCCACCATCTCCGACTTGGTGATGAGTCCGTCGTTGTTTACATCGTACAGCCCAAAGATCCATTGTAGCTTCTCCTGTGTGCTGCCCCGAGACACAGTCGACAGTGCCCCTAGGAAGTCCTGCGGAGAGGGAAGGAACCTGAGATTATACACATTCCTTGACGTAGAACATATATACATTCCTTGAGGCAGAACATACAGTATACACATTCCTAGAACATACACCCCGACAAGCCGTGAGTGTTATACCAAGATTTAAATTTCCCGGGGTGTGATAAAGAGAGATGTCGTGTTCCCTAGTTGGGTGGTCCAGAGTATCATTAGTGCACATTAGGAGGCAGTCTTGGGTCCCGCCACAGTACGAGACAGATAACGGTCACGTGTTTAGTGTGTTTTATAGTGTTTTGACGTTATTGAAGGTAAATAACACAATTTTATATATATTTAAAGGTAATTAAGTAATCCGTGCAACATATATAGCGACATATAGCCGATGGCAAAGTGATATAAGTGTGTTTGTGTCGTTATTTATTTGTGTTTTGCCGAGTGAGCAATTAGGCGTGACGTCACCAGCCTCGTCTCGTGGTCAGACGTCATCAGCCTTGCCGCCGTGACAAGAGTGAAAGATTTTACGGACAAATAAAGACAATGATTATGACAATGAAACTAATTATGATAAAATGACAGTTGACAATGAAAGTGATAATATATATAAAAATAGTGACGGTGACGGTGATAGTGAAGGTGATAGTGAAGGTGATAGTGAAGGTGATAGTGAAGGTGATAGTGAAGGTGATGAAGGAGTTGAAGTGAAGGAATGATGGAGTGAGGTGAAGGTGATAGTGAAGGTGATAGTGAAGGTGAAGGTGATGAGTAGTGAAGGTGAAGGTGAAGGTTAAGGTGATGGTAAGTGATGGTGAAGGTGATAGTGTGAAGGTGATGAGAGGTGAAGGTGAAGGTGAAGGTTGAAGGTTAGGTGAAGGTGATGTGAGTGAAGGTGAAGGTGATAGTGAAGGTGATAGTGAAGGTGATAGTGAAGGTGAAGGTGAAGGTTAAGGTGATAGTGAAGGTGAAGGTGATAGTGAAGGTGATAGTGAAGGTGATAGTGAAGGTGAAGGTGAAGGTGATAGTGAAGGTGATAGTGAAGGTGAAGGTGATAGTGAAGGTGAAGGTGATAGTGAAGGTGATAGTGAAGGTTATTCTCGGGTACGTGAAGGGACTCAAGAGTCTCGTGCCCTCAGTACCATAACAAGTACACTAAGACTTTACTCCTGACACACTCACCTCTACTCCTGACACACTCACCTCTACTCCTGACACACTCACCTCTACTCCTGACACACTCACCTCTACTCCTGACACACTCACCTCTACTCCTGACACACTCACCTCTGGCAATATTACAGTGATTTTTTTTTGTACTTAGGAATTATCATAAATTTATCATAAAATTGCGTGAGAAAAAATATCTAGAACAATGTAGGGATCCCACATGCCACACTGGTTCTCCTTCTCTCGGCATAGGATGCTACCTTACCTCTATGGCCACCTCTCTGATAGCCACCTCTGCTGGATAGCCACCTCTACTGGATAGCCACCACTTACTGGATGGCCACTGGATAGCCACCTCTCTACTGGATGGCCACCTCTACTGGATGGCCACCTCTACTGGATGGCCACCTCTACTGGATGGCCACCTCTACTGGATGGCCATAGGATAAATAAGGTAAAAAAAATCTTACAGCCATTGTTTACACGCGAGAGCATTTATACATTACTAAAGGCAAAACATACTCACACACACACACACACACACACACACACACACACACACACACACACACACACACACACACACACACCAAATTGAGTTTCCTGCCAACTTTGAAGCCCTCAAATGGCCTCTTAAACTTCACAAAAAATATATGTATATTTTTCACTCTTTACCTACTGTAGTTCCTCTCTGTAAATTGCTCTTGTCATTTTCGCATCAAATATATACACGAAAAATACAGTCTGGTGATTGGTTCCTGAAACTTTTAGTGCAGGGAAAATAAATCACCAAAGATGGACAGACAGACAGATAGACAGACAGATCAGATGGAAAGATAGATAAAAAGACAGATAGATAAACAGAAAGAGAGTGAGAGAAGGAAATACAGAAACTTAGAAATAAGACAGATAGACAGATAGACACAGACAGACACAGACAGACAGGCATGCAAAAATATAGACAAACGAACAGATAAAGCAGAGGGAAAGATAGATAAAAAGACAGATAGACAGACAGACAAGAAAGAAAGAGAGAGAGAAAGAGACAGACGCAATCCCACACAATTCCTCCAGAGAATGACTAGTGATCAACTATCTCACGTCGTAATTCTGTCGAGTCAGTAAATCCCACCCACATTATTTCCTTCCTCTTATGTTTACAAAATCGTAGGTTTATTTGTCTATCTGTTTATCTATTTACTTGTTTATTCGTTTGTTTAATTATTTACTTTGATAGAGAGAGAGAGAGAGAGAGAGAGAGGGTAAAAAAAGAGAAAGTAAGAAAGAAAGTAATATAAAGAGAGCGAAAAACAGAGAGAAAGGGAGAAAAGTGAGAAATAGAGTTAAGAAAAAGAGATAAGAGAGAGAAATCTAGAAAGAGAACGAGAAAAAGAGAGAGAAAAGAGAGCTAGAAACAGCCATCCTTTACAGATCACCTCCTCATTCAGACATACTCACTACACCCTCTTCATGGCTCCCCCCCCCCGGCGCGAACTACCACACCCCTCTCCAACAGCGTGATTTACCTCCGCCAAGCTGGTTATCGATACCTCTGATTCCCTCATATTTTTGGCTGAGTATTATATTGTGTGTGTGTGTGTGTGTGTGTAATTGTGTGTGTGTGTGTGTGTGTGTGTGTGTGTGTGTGTGTGTGGATGTTTTTTAAAGCTGTTTTAGGTGCCAGCAGATGGGGGCTATGTCTATACTGATAGGCCCTAGTTCTGATAGGCCTTTAGTTCTGATAGGCCCCTAGTTCTGATAGGCCCTCGTTGTGACTAATGCACCATCATTACTAGTCTACGAGCAGTCATAAGTGAGATACATTTATATACACACTTCAAAGCCATGTTAATATATCCCAGGAATACATTATAAACATACAAGATATACACTATACAGGATATTCCAGCTGTGTGTATGAATTTATCCTTGCGTATGTTACCACCACCAAGAACCTCACCAACAAACAAACAGACAAAGAACGCCATACTACCCGCTAAACACAAACAAACACTCGACCTTCCCCTGGTATAAGGAATGCAATGGGATGTTATATCAAAGAGTGAACCCAGGAGAGATGTTCACTCCCCGATCTCTTACAAGTGAGTGGTGGTGAAGCATTACCCTCGTCTTTATATATGGCAGACACTCCCTTAAGGTCGTGACGTCATGCTAGGGAAATATCCCTCCCTAGGTCAGCTGGTGGGGAAAATTTTCTCATATACGACTCACAGTAGGATGGAATGGTGGGGAGATATTGGAGGTGAGGTAGTGAAAGGAGATAGAGGGTCTTGATGGAGAGGTACTTGAGGAGAAATTTGCTTTGAGAGAGAGAGAGAGAGAGAGAGAGAGAGAGAGAGAGAGAGAGAGAGAGAGATTACTAACGCCTTAACTAATCCAATATATCAATAAATAAATTTCTGGTTCTCGGCCCCTACCAACTATGGACTCAAAATTCGCTTCCACAAATCCAAGCCTGCGGCTCGCTGGAAGTTCTGCCACACACACACACACACACACACACACACACACACACACACACACACACACACACACACACACACATACACACACACATACACAGACACACATCCATGACCGCAAGGATGAACAGACAGACATCAACACTATCTCACCCAGGCGAGGGATAATAAGAGAGGAGAGAGGTATTAAATAATTGACATAGAGGCGGAAGGTGTTGTGTCTCCCTCCACCAGAGATAAAGCAGCGACCTTATCTAATATATTTCTTCCCTCTCTCTGTGTTCGTTCCCTGTCTGTATTTCTGTCTGTCTGTGCTAGTTCCCTGTCTGTGTGTGTCTGTCTGTCTGTGTTAGTTCCCTGTCTCTGTGTGTCTGTCTGTCTGTGCTAGTTCCCTGTCTCTGTGTGTCTGTCTGTCTGTGCTAGTTCCCTGTCTCTGTGTGTCTGTCTGTCTGTGCTAGAAGCCCCCGTCTGTGTGTCTGTCTGTGCGGTTCTCGTCTGCGTTCTGTCTGTCTGTGCTCGTTCCCTGTCTCTGTGTCTTCGTGTTAGTTCCCCTGTCTGTGTCTGTCTGTTCAAAGGTTCCCTGAAGGTGTGTTTGTCTGGTATGGTTGTAGCATTTCCCTGTATGTGCTGCCGTGTAACTGTCTTGTGTCTGTTCACTGTCTGTGTGTGTTCAGAAGCAGGATTCCCCCAGATGTAGGTGAGGGGAGAGGGAGAGGAGGTGGTTAATGGTGAAGGAAAAGGTAAGAGGAAGGTGTTTATATCATGAGAGAGAGGGGGGTGAGGGGTGGGAGGAAGTTAATAGTGAGGGGGAAGAGGGAGAGGAAGGGATTACTCTGGCGAGGGGAAGTGGTTACCTGTTGAGGAGAAGAGTAATGTGGAGATGGAAGTGGAAATGAAGAGGGAGAGGAGAGAGAGGAGAGGAGAGGGAGAGGAGAGGAGAGGAGAGGAGAGAAGGTAGGAGAGGAGAGGAGAGGAGAGGAGAGGGAACATAATATTATTGAGATAAGATGATAAACACACCTTTATTATGTTACCTGTGTGGTCACCTCCACCTGGCTCTCGCTACACGCTAATATTTATTTATTTATTTTTTATTTATTTATTTATAAATTTATTTATAGGAGTGTGTTAAGGACCTTGAACTTTGACCCCGTGTGACCTCTAACTGCCCTCCTCCACACGCTAGGTGCTGACGACTGAATGATTGAATGTAAAAAGCTTAAAGTTGGCCGCCTGACATTTGACCCCGTTACACTGGAGGCTGGGTCAAATAGTGCCCATTTTTATTAGGCATCAACCTCACCTAACCTAAGTTAACCTAACCTAACCTAACCTAGCATAACTTAACCTAACCTAACTAAACCAAATCGAACCTAACCCAATTAATCGTCTTCAGTCCTAATGTTTAGATTCGGTCAGGTTGGGGCCTATAAAGACTGGGGCCCAGATGCTACCGTAACAGACACACATTCAGCTGAAGTGTTGTCTGAAGGTCTGGTGGATAAAAACGTAAAACTAGAGAGAATTGACCTTTACCGCTGTGACTTTAACCTTTGACCTATCTCCGCAAATTACGTGAAGCTTCCGCAGCCTACCTAGAGAAACAATTGTGTAGAAAAAACTAATTTCCGTTCGGCTGATGTGCCAACCTACAGTACACCCAGTGATGTTATGGGACCTATTTAAAATGTTCACTCCTAAGGCTGAGAAACACGTGAGATATAAAGACCAGACTGAGAAACACGTACAATGTAAAGACTAGACTGAGAAGCATCTACAATATAAAGACTAAGACTGAGAAACACGTACAATGTAAAGACTAGACTGAGAAGCATCTACAATATAAAGACTAAGACTGAGAAACACGTACAATATAAAGACTAAACTGAGAAGCATCTACAATATAAAGACTAAGACTGAGAAACACGTACAATATAAAGACTAAGACTGAGAAACACATGAGCTACAAAGACCCTTTTTATAGTTAGTGAGGAAAGCATTTAACGTGAATAAGGACCAACAGACAGACAGACAGACAGACATCTTGTTATTATTATTCCTTCAAGAGAAATGACCCACCTGACGTAACCCTTTCCCTCTCTTACAGGTATACAGGTGATGGACTTCAGGTATCAACTAATTACCATGTATGTCAGGTAGGTTCAATCTGACGCCCTGGTTGGTACTTCAGCCACCAGAGGGTCAAAGACGAGAACACTGTAGGGGGTTATTTAAGTATGCATGGAGTCTGGAGGTCAGATCTTGATTGGATTTACTGTTGAGGATGGATACTAGGAGACCGAGGAGACGAGATGTGATGGAGAGATGTTTGAGAGTATTAGAGAGATGTTTGGAGATTACAGTAGGAGATAGGTACTAGGAGACCCGGGAGACGAGATGTGATGGAGAGATGTTTGAGAGTATTAGAGAGATGTTAGGAGATTATAGTAGGAGATAGGTACTAGGAGACCCGGGAGACGAGATGTGATGGAGAGATGTTTGAGAGTATTAGAGAGATGCTTGGAGATTACAGTAGGAGATGGATGCTTGGAGACTAAAACAATGGATGCCGGAAGACAGTGGAAGAGAGGTGTCATGGAGGGATGTCTCCTAGGTTACAGAGATCAATAGTGATGGATGTTGGGAGACGGTAAGAGAGATATCATGAGGAGATAGCCAGACACAGAGAAATATCACCTTGGTTACAGAGAGAGAGAGAGAGAGAGAGAGAGAGCAGTAGAGAGAGAGAGAGAGAGAGAGAGAGAGAGAGAGAGAGAGAACTCGAGCAGTATTGTTTCCTTGGTTACAGAGAGAGAGAGAGAGAGAGATGTTACCTGCGGTTCATATTACCCAGTTCAAGCTGACCTCTTCTACTCTACCCTGTCTACAGTGACCTTTGACCTGTGAAGACCTCAACACCTACCCTTTACTTCCGTGACCTCTGACCTCCTCAAGTAGCTTCTAAAACTCCGCCTCCCCCACCTCTTTGACCACTGACCTCCATGTTCCACCCTCTGTGACCCCTGACCTCCCTCTAACAACTCCCAGAGCCCTCCATCTCACCCTCTCTCCTCCATCACCTCCTCCACAGTTCCCTTCAAGAAAATCCTAGTCACCTCTCCTCCTCCTCATCTTTCTGACCTCATATGACCTACACCTCTCCTCCTCCTCATCTTCCTGACTTCATGTGACCTACACTTCTCCTTTCCCTCATCTTCCTGACCTCATGTGACCTACACTTCTCCTTTCCCTCATCTTCCTGACCTCATGTGACCTACACCTCTCCTCCCCCTCATCTTCCTGACCTCATGTGACCTACACCTCTCCTCATCTTCCTGACCTCATCCTTCTCCTCCCCCTCATCTTCCTGACCTCATGTGACCTACACCTCTCCTCCCCCTCATCTTCCTGACCTCATGTGACATACACCTCCCCTCCACCTCATCTTTCTGACCTCCATGACCTTTGACTTTTGACATTTTAACACTTAAGCATCGAGAGGACATAAAACACCCAGAATGAAACTCACTCTAATGACCATAAATACGAGATGGTCAGAATTCACTAACCTAGAGCAATTAGGTGTCATCAGTAGTTAATAACAGAATGTCTTGAACAACTTGAACATAGAATTATTCACTCGCAAGTAATTCATCTCGCTTATATATCAATTATTCGTGATCCTGTTGTGTTTAGTGAATATAATCTAGTGTAATAATTTATCTTATTATATTTCTCTCTAACCTAACCTAACCTAACCTTACCAACTTCACTATCAGACAAAATAAGGGAGATTATTTTTTACATTTTGAAATCAATTTATGTTCTGTGTTCTGGAAAAAATAAAAAGTTGAATATGGATGCCTGAGGTTTTGTTCGAAAGCTTTTAAAATGCGATTTGTTAGCATGCACACACACACAAACACACATAAAACACACACACAGAAGCGTACATACAGACCAAACACACACACACACATGCACACACATGAACATATTAATATATAACTATACAGAGAAACAGACAGAATAAGAAATTGGAAAAGATATACAGAACGAGACAGACAGACAGATAAACAGACAGACAGACAGACAGACAGACAGACAGACAGACAGACAGACAGACAGACAGACAGACACAGACAGATAGACTTACCTCAAAGCTGATCTGGCCGTGGTTGTTGTGCTTGAAGGTATTAAACACGTAATGGGCGTACTGTGTCGCGTCTGAAACATAACAACACACCATCAGTCTTAAGTTAGGTTAGGTCAGGTCAGGTCAGGTTAAGTTCAGTTAAGTTTGAGGAGATTGGAAGCTTAGGATTGGTAAGATTAGGGACTATGGTTTACAGAGAAGCTTTTAATCGGTGACTACATAATTATAATACATTAAATGTGTGTGTGTGTGTGTGTGTGTGTGTGTGTGTGTGTACCCATTGCCTCTGTCGCCTTTACAATCAAGGGACGATTACTCGAAACTGTCAAGGGTCAAGTTGTCCGGTGGTCACTGTGGCAAGCTGGTCACTATAGTAAGCTGGTCAGTAGACTAAGCTGGTCACTAGATTAAGCTGGTCATTACTACAATAACAAACATATATACAATAATACAATACCGTGACATAAAACTTTACAATACATTAAGGTCTTGTTGTGACGGAAATCGGTCATTATTTTTCATTTTTTCCATTATTAAACATCTATAATTTCCATTTCTATGTAAGTTATCTATCTAATATACTCTAAGGCAGGTAAAACGTTCTTTAGTTACACTCTACTACTGAGAGGAACTTGTCTCAACACAAAAACGACAGAACCAGTTTTTCGTGTGAACTATAACGATATCATCATGAAGGTATTTTTATGTTATGTACCGCTAAAGACCTACTATGTTTTGGACGAAGGATCTGAAACTTATACCAGTGATTCTTTATTGTTCGTAGTGTCTCCATGCAAAGTTTCAGATCTGTATGACAAACAGTTCAGAGTTTACAGTCAATAATGTTTTTTTCTTACTATTCTCCTCCCCCCCTCCTCCTCCTTCTCCTCTTCCTCCTCCTCCTCCTCTCCTCCTCCTACTCTCCTCCTCTCCCTCCTCCTCCTCCTCCTCCTCTCCTTCCTCCTCCTCCCCTTCCTCCTCCTTCAGAAACCATCTCGAATGTCAAGTCTCGGAATTAAACTGGGTCGTGCATATTTCCTCAACAAGTTACCTTACCACACACCTGTAGCCATGGCTCAGGTACCAGCAGGTATCGGAGACATCTGTTACCTTACCTCACACACACACACCCTGACATCCCCGAGCTTTTAAAACATAATTACTGATAATAGGTTTAATAGGCGATAATTATTAGATATTTTCAAATGGCAAAACCTCGTCGTTCTCACCACTTAAATATTGAAGCTTCGTACGGCTGGCAGCGAGACATAGGAACTATCGTGTATCGGTGCGGTAATGGCGGTGCACCTTTAGTCCTTACCGCTGTGACCAGGTTCTTTTTTATGTGATATTGTAACTAAGACTGGGAATGGCGTTCATCGCTAGTCGATACTGTGTGTGTGTGTGTGTGTGTGTGTGTGTGTGTGTGTGTGTGTTACATTTACTGGGTGTGTCAGGTAGTAAATGAAAATATGTTAGTCAATAGATTGGTTTACATGATTATTAATATTATTATTCTCACACACACACATACACACACACACACACATATATATAACATATATATATATATATATATATATATATATATATATATATATATATATATATATATATATATATATACACACACAACAGCCAATAACCGTAAAAAAAAAGATTCAGTAACCTGTAGATTCAATTGTGATTTCTCGACTCATTGAAAAACCAACAATTTCCGCCACAACTTTCCTTCCTTCTGAGACAACTGGCTGGCTGGCTACCTGCACCTGACGGTAGTTGATTTTTGTGTGTGTTTATGTGTCTGTTTTGGTCTGTGTATTGGTTAAGGTAGAACATACACACACACACATAGACACAGACACACTCTCGCCCATACACACACCCATACCCACACACATACTCACCCATCCCATCCACCCACCCACCCACACCCACACACACTCACCCAGGTAATGCCTCTCCTTACCTCCTTGGGGGAAGAACTGGGTGAAGATGCCCTTAAATCCTTCCTCGTCCACCAGACCCGTTGGGCACTCCTGAAGGAACAATGAGAAGAAAACATTTATTATATGATGTTTGTCTTATTGTAGCTGTTAAGGCGAGATGGGGCATTATTTGTGGATAAGGACACACTCTCACGCACCCCAGACACACACTCAGGTACTCCAGAGATACAATCACGCACCCGAGACAGACGTATGCACCCGCACACACTCACGCTCCCACACCCACACACACTCACGCACCCACACACACACACACTCAACCGCCCTCGTCGCCAACAACAACGTCTATAGCCATTAGGCGTCAAGGAACATCAATATAATAATATAAATCGAATTAAATAGAAATAGAGCGAGAAAAAAATATCCAATAGGGAAAAAATAATACTGACAATAATAATAACTTGACGAAGTGAAAATACCAACAATAAGGTGACCGTCAACGTATTAATGAAACGTGTAATGAAACTGTTAAGATAAAAATGGCATTTGTTCTCTCTTGATGACATGATATTTTTTAGTGGGATCAGAATTTGCATATTACACACACACACACACACACACACACACACAGACACTTCCCTAAACAGTGTGGTGGCATCAACCGGCCTCCTTGACTTCAGTCACATAAAAGCATCACATAAAAGCCTCAATTTACGTCGGTGACAGAACAAAGAGGATTGACGGCCATGAGAAGAGTTTTATCGTTTATAGTTTATGTCTTTATAGTTTTGTGACGTTTATAGTCTTTGTTTACCTCTTCCGTCAAGTGCTGAGGCTGCCAGATGCTGAATAATAATCTTCTTGGTTATGAGAGATATTTCCGGTTTTATTAGAATTAAGTAATGAAAGTTTATTCTACGTCGTATAAATATTCTGTGTAATTAGACGGAGTTTATATATAATATCTCCCAGTCTTAATGAACAATACACAGTTACACTCAGGTGACTGTATGATGACCTTCAAGACACTGACTGTTGCATGTTATCAGCAGTAACTGGACCACCTCACCACAACTCGCCAGGCCCCACACTCTCCATCACTTGGCATCACTTAAGAGACACTTCAGTGGTATATCGGGTCCCCATGGCGCAGTGGAAAGCGCGCTGGACTTCTAATCCAGAGGTCGTGGGTTCGACCCCCACTGGGGATGGGAGTGAGTGGTGATTGTCGTCCGCGTGACAACGGCTTGGTGCCAGAGGCTGTTCCTGGGGCACTCCACTCTCTCGCTGCTGCCAATCTTATGGTAAAGGGCATGTTTTGTTGTGTACCACGTCTCTCTCTCTCTATCTCACTCTCGCGCTCACTCTCTCTCACTCACTCGCTCTCACTCACTCTCTCACTCACTCCTTCCCTCTCACTCACTCTCACTCTCTCCAATACCCAGTAAATCGAACGACTTGTACACCTGAAGTGTATCACAACGACGTCGAAATATTCCCCTGACGCGCTAGCTTGTGTGATATTAAAGGTTAGGTAGCAATTTGTTATCAGTTTTTGTAAAGCGAAATATTGCGTTGCGATACTGGGGGCAGATTCTCTCTCTCTCTCTCTCTCTCTCTCTCTCTCTCTCTCTCTCTCTCTCTCTCTCTCTCTCTCTCTCTCTCTCTCTCTCTCTTTTCAATGGTACAACACTAAACATAATTAAATGACTCCACGAATCAATTAAATCAGTAAAAAACTATACATCCATTTCTAGGGGGACTTGTGATCTATATTCACACACACACTGAAAGGTTATGTCCAATTAGCTCAAATGGGAAATGTATATCGTATTGGAGCTATTAAAGGCCACGAGTAATAATGAAACTGTGAATAACTTTGAAAAAATCGAAATTCTATAAAAAACAACGAAAAAGATAATCACTGATACATAGATTATTGGAAGCTGTCCAGTGATTGAGCTGTAGCTGTACACACACACACACACACACACACACACACACACACACACTGGAGGTAACAGGATAAAACATAACCTAACCACACTGTAGGGACAATTTGGTTGCTCTCTCTTCCTCCACTGTAAAGTTAGGTGTCCATCTATAGCTCGGGAGACCTGGGATATCTCGGGATCGAACCAGCGACACTTTGGACAGGAGGTGAACGCTGTATTCACCCACCCGCCTCATCATGCCAATGGTTGAGAATACTGTCCCTGTAAATTCATTATTTGATCTTAGTAAACCTTTCTCTACCAAGCAGCCGGCAGCCATTAAGTGTCACTCAGTTCCCCCACTGGCCGCTGTGGCGCTGAGATCGATTATCGAGATTTCGCTAAACAAAAACGTGTGGCCACAGAAATGTTTCTCCTGCTGTTTTTCGAGAACCTGACGTAATCACATGAAAAATAATGTATACGTCGTCGCCATTGTCGCTCCCGTCGTCCCAGTCGAAGTAAAAACAATAACTGGTCCCCAGGCTCCTCGCTAGGTGTTCCGCTCAACGGGGATTTAATGTTCGCTATTTTGTTGATATAATTTACTGGCCGAGAGAGTTATCACAGCCGAGAGCTTCGGGTGCACCAATTTTTCTTCCCCTCTCTCTACCTGTGTTTAATTTACCTTCCTTTTGGGCAGCTCACACCTGCCCGCTGATTAGACTGTCGGAACACCAGACGATTATGTCCTCAAGGAGCCAGTTCCCCCTACAGCCTGACTGGTAATGACTGACTCAACTCCTTGTGATACTTTGAGTTTAGTTATGTCTCGTTAATAATAATTTAATGTCTTGGCGCCATCGTCATAGTGACCAGTTCAGGGAGATTAAATATTACTCCCTTATAATAATTTCCAGAATACTCCTGCTAGCGTTTAATCAGGATAGAGAATCGAATCCTACGCAGGATATGTATAGAGAATCGAATACTCTATCCTGGTATAAAGGGAGAAACAAAAAACTGTCGGAATTGTTCTCCAGTATAAACTACATGTTCTCATCTGTCTTGCTGAGGTGGAATACGAAATTATGTTTTCTTTTTAAGGGGAACAAGAAACCCGGGTGTGGTCGTCCCTCTAGTTCTATTATGTGTGTGTGTGTGTGTAGGGCTTCACATTAACACACACACACACACACACACACACACACACACAAGGACAAACACACAAGGCAAAGTAAACATTCTTCCCCTCAAAGATAATTGGAAAAACAACAAAGGCAATTTATTTCTGTTTGATGTGTTTATCCCTTTACTATCTTATTTATCTCTATCCTTTGTCTTTTCTCTCTCTCTCTTTCGTACTTTCACTTCCTCTTTTGTTCTCATTATCTTCATCTGTCTCTATTTATTAATATTTTTCTCTCAATTGGCTGATCATTCTCTCTCTCTCTCTCTCTCTCTCTCTCTCTCTCTCTCTCTCTCTCTCTCTCTCTCTCTCTCTCACCTTTGAACTATAATGATCTTAATCTCTGGGCAGAAGGTGTATTCCGTCACCTTAGGAGGAAGGGAGGAGGAGGAAGGAAGGAGGGAGGAAGAGGAGGAAGAAGGAGGAAGAGGAGGAAGGAGAAAGGAGGGAGGAACAGGAGGGAGGGAGGAGGGGGAAGGAAGAGGAGGGGGAGGAGGGAAAGGATATGAGAGGAAAAGGAAGTGTAGCTTTGAAAGGAAGAGCAAGATCGTGACGGTAGATAGGCAGTGTGATGAATGAAGAGAAAAGACCAGAGAGAAGCAGGAGATAAGAGAGAGAGAGAAGTGAGAGAGAGAGAGAGAGAGAGAGAGAGAGAGACTGAGGGGAGGTTTGATAAATGGGAGAAGATGACAAGAAGAAAGAAACAAGAATTGAGAGATGTGGTGATAAACAGTGTAAAATGGATAAACGAGAAGAGAGGGTAGATAGGCGAGGGAAGGGAGGAACACAGAAGAAGGAAATAAAGATATGAGACCAACACAGGTATGAAACAGGTACAAAGGAGGGCACAAGAGGAGAGGTGATAACGATGGTAGAGGAAGTGGAAGATAATTAAATACTGTAGTTAAAATTCATTATTAATTATTCAAAAAAAAATAATTATGTTGACAAGATTGCACTCGAGCACGATACCAATTCTCTCTACACGATGAAATTGTTCAGTGCTGTGACGTCTGACCCTTACCTTAGACTTCTGATCTTTGACCTTTTACCACTGACCTTGACCTCTGACCTCTTACCTCTGACCTCTGACCCCCAAACCCTAAAAATTGAGTAGCTATTACCGTCCACGAGTTACATACATACATACATACATACATACATACATACATACATACATACATACATACATACATACATACATACATACATACATACATACATACATACATACATGCATACATACACCATACATACATACCGATGGCACTGACCGCTCTACTCACGTGGTCAGGCCGCTGTGTAAAATAATGTATCACATCAAAGGTCATATACCTGTGCACCTAAATGGGTATCGAACGCGTGTACCTGAGTTAAAGGTAAGACTCACTTTGTTCACATCCATTCCTCCACCCACCAGAGAGGATGAGAGAGAGAGAGAGAGAGAGAGAGAGAGAGAGAGAGAGTAGTTGAGTGTGTGTCTGTCTGTCTCATGTGCACGCGAGAGTGACTGTAATACGGAATATTCACAAAATTGGCAAAGTTAAAACCTGAAAACCCAAATATTCAGCCAAACTGACCCAGGGCGATGAGAAGGAGGAAGCGGCAGATTGAAACACAAGACGAGAGTTGTGAAGCGGATTGAAGAGGGACGAACTGAAGTGGTGATTGAATGGCACAGTGGAAATTGACTTTACTGTTCGAGATATTGAACTGAGGGGACGCCGGGGAGGAAGTTGAGAGAGAGCGGCAACTGTTTATTTTTCCTAGAGTGTAGAAGGACGTAGAGGGTGGGTGAGGAAAGAATAGGGAGAGGGGTGAAGGGAGAGGAATGGAGTGGGGAGATGAAATAAGAAAGAGAACGAGTAAAGGGAGAGGGATAAGAGCAGTTGGTGGAAAGGGAAGAGAGGGAGAGTAGTAAGAGGAGGAGAACTGGTTGAGAAGGGAGAGAGAGAGAGGAAGGGAGG